TTTCCATCCAAATTGCCTCATTCACCCTCCATTTTGATTCAGATAGCTTCTCCTATAAATAGGAAGTCATTTCCACCTATTTCCACAAGCTTTTGATAGTCAAAACCACTATGCTAAGATCCCATTTGAACTCTTAAGCTTGAACTTCGAATTTCTATTTCCACACCTTAAACACTCAAATTCTCCACTCAGTTAGCTTCACCTACATTCAGTGAAGCTAACCAGATCAAGAGCTTGAAGAATCGTGGCCTGAATCAAGCTAGGGAACTCCATTTTCAGAGCTTCAAGGTTGAGCTTCAACAAGTATAATTCTCAACCGTTTTGATCCAAATTTGTTGCTAAAATGTAGCCCTTGACATGATGATGTTGTTTGTATAGTTAGTTTTTAGTTGTAGTTGAGTTTTATTGTTGAATTTTCAAATTCGTGTTTGAATCTTGTTCTGGTTTTTTTTCAAATCGAGTAAGCTGTGATTGAAAGAAATTTGGCGCGTTGATATGGTTGAGATCGTCTTGAAAAGACGCATCAGATGAAACCACTATGAGCTCCAATGGTTATGGTTCCTTGGATCCACGTTTTCCTGCATTTTTCTTCAAGTTTCAGATGGATGGAGGTTGAAGATGATGAGCTGGCATCATCTGACCGTCCAGGCATGTCAGATGTTTTAATCCTATGGGTTTGACTTTTGTTAGCTCCATGTGGTTGAGCTGACTTGAGTGTACCGTGGATGTGTGCATCTGGATCCTTGGATTAGCCACGTCATTTAATGAGGCTAGATCCAACGCGTTGTAATTTTCCTATTTTATTTTTTTTTCTAAATTGTTTTTAATTCCTTTTATTTTTCAGAAATTCATAATAAATTCATTTTTTATCAAAAAAATACCAAAATATTTTCTAAAATTCTCTTTTCTTTTTCTCTTTCTGATTTATATTTTTGTGCATTTTTATTTTACATTTTTGTATTTTTCGTGATTTTTATTTGTTTTGCTTGATTTTAATTGCTTTAAAAATACTTTTGAGCCATTTAAAATTATGAAATTATTTTCACATGATCCTATGATGGTTTTAAACCTATGGTGATTTTCTTGAATTTTTGTTTTCAGTTTTGGGTATTTTCATGTATTTTGGATTTATTTGCTTAATTTTAATTAGTTTAAAATTATTTTTGAGCATTTAAAAATGTTGGAGAAATTTTCATGTGATCATATGATGGTCCTAGATCTATGGTGATGCCCTTGAGTCCTCACTCATGTCTTGGTATCCTCTTTTCCTTTTTTAGGGTTTTTCTTTCTTTTTCATTTGTTTTTATTTTGGATTTAATTGTTTTTTGGGTGAATAAATGATCTTGATCCATTATGAGGTGATTCTTTTGACTTCTCCTCATTCCATTGGGATCTTTGATGTTTTCCTTGTTGATCCCTCATTTGTGGTTGTTGATGATGGTTGATTCACTTTGAAGTTTGACTTTGACTGTCAAACTTAAGTGATCCCTCTTATGCACTCATGATTGGATGTATAACTTTTGACCTTGTTATTTTGCTGCCCCACCTTGCCTCTTGGGTCATCTGGTTTCTTGTTTCATTGCTTCTTGCTTTGTTTCTTGCTTGGTTTTGTTTCCTTGTGAGGCTTTTGATTAATTTGATTGAGCATTATTTGGTTTGCCTTACTTTGGTGTTTGTCTGCACATCTTGGATGTGGATTGGATTTAAGATGCACCAATGATATGTTGACTTGAGGTGTTTTGTCCATCTTGTTTGGGTTTGACTTTTTTGTATTTGTGGCTTTGGTCTTATTGTCTTTCTTCTTCTCTCTCTTTGAGACTTCTTTTATCCTTGTTTTCATTTGTGATTGAATTGGATATTGTTTACTTGTGCTTGCTCACATGATCCCTTAGGATTTCTAGTTCCTCTGTTTAAGATGGGAGTAGGAGAGACACTAGACTTTCAATCCTTTGCATGATAACAAGTAGGATAATTCCTTTCATCTCAACTCTAGGTCCATCTTTTGTATGATAACATTAAGTAGACTTCCTTTTTCATCCTAAACTTAGGACCATTTTGTATGATAATATTAGGGTTTCTAGTTCCCCTTTAGTGTTCTCTTGTGTCTTCTCTTCTCACCTCAAACTTCTTTAATACACTTAATAAAAAACGACAAACATTGTACGCTACGAGCCTTAAGCACATGGGAAATGATGAGTGGAGGGTTTCTCCTCACTTGTCTAGAGTGTTTAATGTATGCCCTTTGAGCGATATGCGACGCACTCGCTTCTATGTCATAGTCTTTAGTGCAACGTGAGTCTCAAACTAATTCAATCCACTTCTTTAAAACCAAATTCAAACCTTTTTATCCTTTAGGATTGTTCTTCAAATCATTTTCAGAAAAGAGTACGCTACTTTTCCGTTCTACCGCAAACAGGCATCGTCCCTAACTAATAGAATGGGAACTTAGCGCCGCTCATAAGAAACACTTAACCAACCTGTGGTTTCGTAGCCCGAACTACGTTTGCTCTGATTTCTCATACCAGATGAGGATACGTAGGTACAAGATGGTGATGTCTTGACGAGCAACCTTCCCCCCATCACCCGTAGTTTTCCGAACTACGTTGACTCTGATTTTCCATTGCGCTAGAAAATAAGTAGGCATATGGCGACGATGTCCTATCGAGTCTTTTCTTTTCTTTCTCTCCGGTTTAGCAGTAGTTTTTAGATAACTCACCCCTTTGATAGACAACAAGCGTGGATCCCGTTGAGTACAACGGACGTGAGGGGTGCTCATACCTTCCCCTTGTATAACCGACTCCCGAACCCAAGATTTGATTGCGATGACCTTGTCTTCTTTCGTTCTTTTAGGTTTTCTTCGATCGTTTTCTTTCCCTCTATTTGAAATAAATAACGTTCGGTGACGACTCTTCCGTTTGTTTCCGCCGGCCCTTTTCGCAGTTGCGATAATATCTAAACCTCTCTTTTGCAATCACTCTATAACCCTAGAATTCCCTATCTAAGTGAAAACATATTCTTCTTTCCTTTTACCCCTTAAGTATGATTGAACACTTCTCAATCTATACTAATGAAACATTCAAGAACATATGAACATATCTAAACCTCTCTTTTGCAATCACGCTATAACCCTAGAATTTCTTATCTAAGTGTAAATGTATTCTTCTTCTTTTTTTCACCCTTAAATGATTGAACGCCTCTCAATTTATACTAATGAAACATTCATGAATATATGAACATATTTAAACCTCTCTTTTGCAATTACTCTATACTATGGATGCAAAACAGTTATCAACGTAACCTCACAAATAATAAATGATCAATAATGACAATGAATGAAGGTGTTGTGGATCACTCACAAGATGATCCAAATCAACATTTTTACCAAATCTATTTGAATGGCCTAAAGGTTGATTCGAATTACACCATTCAAAAGCACGATCAAGAATCAAGATTTATTAGGTTATTAGAATCATTATAAGCATGATTTGGAACAAGATGATTCAAATCACCTTATAGATTGATTCGAATCACATGGTTCATATACTTATAATTTGAATCAGAATAACCCCGATTCAAATCACAACAATCCCGATTCAAAATCATTTATCTAAATTTGCTTTAATATTGTTTTTTATGCATTTGCATGAATTACCAACAAATAAATTCCTTTTGGGCTAAAGGTCTTTCATGATTACTAGGAGATGACTTTTTACACCATCCAACTAACCTTAAATTTGAAGTGATCATATTAATAGTCATCTAGAGATGGATGTTTTTATTAACAAAGCTATATATATATATATATATATATATATATATATATATATATATATATATATATATATATATATATATATATATATATATATATATATATATATATATATATATATATATATATATATAAATCCAAACCAAACCAACCAGAAAGCACGGATCACTGTTACATATCATGAAGTCGAGCACCTAACCTAAACTACAAACTTCAAGGAAGGAAGAGTATCTAGTGCAATCAAGGACCATGTTGAAGATGTCATCTAACCAAGCCAAAGAGATTGGACAAAAGAGAAACCAGTGCAATCAAGGACCATGTCGAAGATGTCATCTAAACCAAGCCAAAGAGATTGGATAAAAGAGAAACCAATAAATAGACGAGGCAGAGTAGACTAAGCCTCACGATTCCTAGAGAAGAAAATGAAAACCACCATGCAAGATCTAACCCTAAGCTTCTTATCTATTGGCATTTATCATGCAAGATTCTCCAAAGCTAAAAAGTTGTGGAACGCACTGATTCCATACAAGCTTTGCTAAGGGAGGGGTTGCCTAGAGGTGAAATGAAATAATAAGCATCTTTGAAGGTAGTGATACCCAAATCAGAATGATGCCAAACTAATTCATCTTTCCTAAGAGTAGAAGGACAAGAAATAAGACTGATATTAGAGTAAAGAGAAGGCGAGCTAGAAAAGTTGGCAGAAACGACCAAGAACCATGATAACTGATCAAGAAGTTCTTAACTGTAGCATGAAGGTTGTGATGGAAATTTCTGTACTCTAATCATCAACAGAAGTCATCATAAGAAGTACAATATTTTTCCTTTGCGTACTTTCATTCTTTTTCCATAAACAATAACTTTGATTTGATATGAAGCTCAAAGAAACAAAATGAAAACATAGCTTTAAAAAGAAGGCATGGTAAAACAAAAATCTGTTCGACTCAGTTACAAAAACTAAGAGCAAACTTGATGAACTTGTCATTTCAATATTTAAAGTGTCGTTTGACTTTAAATTTATGTATAAAAAAACAGAGTATTTAAACCGCGTCGAGTAATAGGAGCAATAAAGTAGCTTCAACAAAAATGGCCTCGGAACACCATAATTCCGATAGAAGTGAAAACAACCTTAAAACGGTATGAAGGATCTAAAATCTGGTAGTTTACATAAAATAAAGTCAACCCCATAAGGAAATGGGGAAAAAACAGAAGCTAGTACTAAGCCACTTACCTAGCCTCTAGTTCTCATAATTGTGATGCTACCTTTTCCCCCTTCGGTGCGAATCTTTGTCTTTCCAACTACAGGCTTACCAGAAAAAGCCGATTTCGGGTAAACTATGGGATCTTCTTTCATTTGCTTTGATTTTGAAGGAGGTGGAGTCTGAATGCGCTTATTTATTTCATTCAGAGTGACATCTCCATGGACACCGCAGGGTTTGATGAAGGCAAATGGATAGGCCACAGTAGAAGCTAACTTTGTCGGTGTTTGCATGATAGATTTTCGACCTACATATGTAAATGCAAGTCAGAGTTTTCATATCAAATGTTTTTACACCATTAACTGCTATCTGCTAAAACTTCTGGCATAAGGATCTTAAGCATTTTACATTGCTTAATCGTGTGTACCAGAAGTTAGGCGGAATATATGTATTTGGAGGCTTGTCTCCGCCTTATTCGATATCAAGTTAAAAAAAGATATGAAGATTGAAAAAAAACAAACCTTTGAAGACAATTTTTCTTGGAGTTTGATGCTGAACCACGTTCTGCTCAACTGGTGGTGGTGTTAAGTTGGAGAGCCCTACAAAAGCATATGATGTTTTCAATTAAGTTCAATGCATCAGGAAGTATAAAAAACGGACGAAACAAACATTAGAAGACATTAGTGAAAAGAAGACAATGTCTCGTTACCAGTAACATCAACATGAACACTATTTGCCGCAGCAAAATTCCTGAAAGAACATAATCATAAGATTATTTTTTATCGGTAAATATATGCAGTAAATTTGCAGTGGTTTTTAGAAGCATACGGGTTCACAGGACATATTTGCATATCAGTATCTTTGAAGCAATCTGCAAGCCACCTTTCAGCTGACCGTAAGTCCTCGTAATTGGGAGCAGAAGCACTATCTATTGCATATTACATTTTGCAAAGAATCGGAATAAGCGTCCAAATAATTTATCAAAAGTCATTAAGAAAAATTCAAGCAGAATCTTGTATAAGGAAAACCTGAAACGTCAGATAGCCATTGTGACACTTCAGGGAATATATCCGCATTGGAGTCACCCGTCCCCTATATGCATAAACACAGTCATACATTCACACAAAAACCTCCCGAACGATTATTAATTCAAACATCACAATCAAATCCATAAACTATTACTACAAACACTTGACAGACAAATGTCAAAAGAATTCGCATTATCGTTAAGTATGACTATCTGCAAATCATGAACATTTGGAGGTATCATGAAAGTGTCAAAATAGACGAAAGCTACAAGCACTGACATTTAATTCCAAATACGCCGATGATATTGGTTCATCAGTAAGGGAATGATTCCCGTTCTGATTGTTGAACTGCAGCATCCTCCGTCTCTTGGCTTGTGAACAAGTCTCAAAACATTCCACCTCTCCCTTTTGAATATCATTTGATTCTGAAATCCACATTTTGTTTAAATTAAAAACGATGACATTGTATCGAAAAATAAAAGGGTAATGATAATAATTATTATAACAGCAATATATTCAAGTGGCACGTATCAATAATAATTAGACAAGGTCGAGAAAATTTCCTTCCAAAGAGAACTTACCACCATTATTGACATTGTATGCAAAATCCCCACAAGCCTTCACAGGGGTTGTTTCATCATCGAGCACGATAGGAAGATCTACATTTCGAGGAACTTGATTCCACAGCTCTTGTGAAATATCTGATCAAACAAATCGGGTTTGTCAAGCATCATTTATTAACACTAAGCTTACAATCATAAGTGATACTTACCAAAATTTGACGACCTCTGGAGACCGTAATCATCCTCCTTATGCCAATTCCAAGGAGCCCTAACATTAAGATCGAGAAATTTTACGTGATGAGGAAAATACTCAAATGATATATAGAACGACTCAAGTGAGAATAACAAGTTGTTATGGTAATCGAGCAAACATAATTAACACCATCAGATTAAAATTAATTGCTTAGATTACATTTTTAAATAAAAAAAGGCATGTAAGTTCAACTTCTTCCTCCCCTGAGAAGCGTATTTTTCTTCCTCTTCACCGGTGCAGTAACTGTCATCAAATAGGTTATTCCTAAAAATCTCTCCTAAAATGTATCTTTTTACAAGGCTGGAACCCAATGCATTAAGTAACAACAGTCTATTTTTTTTGTGGGAAAGTAGCTGTAGCTCTCAAATTTCAAATGTTTTCGTCAGAATATTGTCTGCATCTTTACTATACCTTATCAGTATACAGGAAGTCAAAAGTGCGGGATTATGTAGCTGATTCACATAGACATCTTTATTGTCAATTACCCTATCTGAAAACTTGCCTTTCGATCAAAGGTCTTCAAGGGTAGCCTTCAAGTGTTGCTCCTTGTCGCAACGAGTGCGAGGGAGAGCAGCACGCGCAGACAGTTCAGAGAAGAGGAACAAATTGAGTTCGGCCATATGCCTCTTTTAATTAAAAAATATAACAATCATAGCTATTAATTTTAATCCAAGGATTCTAACTACGTGTTCTTGTTTCTCACGAGAGTCAGGGATCCGCACCCAATCCCTAATACGTTTAAAATGGATCGAAAAGGAAATTCAAGTCATGCAACAAAGAAAATAGCATAAAAGTCGAAGCTACAACCAATGTAGATGAATCAAAAGAAGTAACATGAACTTGCTCCCAAATCAAGAATTGTAGAACACACCATAATCAGAAAATGAGCATAAGTTAACCCCTATGAAGCACAAAGACACCAAACACAGCACCGACACTGACACGTCGACAACAGTAATAATTTAAAAGAAAATAATAAATTGAACGTAACCACAACACTAATTACCAAACAAACAGCCATAAAGTAGAAAAAGAACATAACCATCATATTCTAGTATATTTTTAGGGACGTTTTTTTCATCAGACAGTGACAAAAAACAAAGAACTACTACAATTAATAAAACAAATAAAAAGGGATGAAAAAACAAACAAAATCACAGTCCTTTCTCTTTCCACATAAATCTATAAAATCTATAAAATTTGACGTAAATTGAACAATTTGGAGAGCAAATATAAAAAATATACAGAGTATAAAAAATAAAAATAAAAATTCATGCAATACACACAAACAATTTAGAAGACGAAGATCAACCAATTAACTTTAAAAAAAAATGATTAGAAGAAAAATCAAAAGCAAAATTATCGGAACGGAGAAAGTACCATAAACAAAAAAAGTTCCGCCTAAAAAATATTGTGGCTTTGACGAATGCAAGACCCAAATAATAATTATAAAAATGAAAAATGAAAATAGAGAAAAGGTAGAGAGAAATACTCGTCTTTGTTGTTATAATCCATTTCAGGTGCTGATCAGAAATAATAACTGTTGTTACGGAGAAAACTCAGTGTTTTTGCAGCTACTGCATGAGACGCATATGTGCTGCAAATTATACGCCAACAGGGAAAAACCACCCTTTACCTCTCCATTTTTATATCTCAATAAATAAATATTAAAATAATAAAATATTTTTTCTTTGTTTTGTAGTACTAGGAATGAAATGGTGGTATAAGTTAAACATTTCATATATTAATGTCAATTAAGTCATTTCGCGACTATTGAATTTAATATATTACATTAAGCTGATAAATATAATTATGCAGGAATATTAATGACAGGGGTACAGAAATCCTTTGTTCACTTAAAAGATTTTAATTACTAAACTATTTAACAAAAAATTTGTAATGTCAAAATTTTGAATTTTATGGTGATTATGATAAAAGTTAGGTGTTTTAATAATTTAGTAGTTATAAAACAAAGATTTTGGTTATCGACTTAATTTAGTCCATTTTTTCAAAGTGTAAGGACCTAGTTTGAATTTTGTTATCAAAACAAAGACTTTTTTTAGTAAATAATATATAATTTTTTATAATTTTTTTTAACAGATCTTGTTTTATTATTTTTATAAATTTTGATAACAAATTTAATTATAAAATGTTTTTATAAAAATATATTAAATTAAAGTATAAGTAATTTATTTTAAAAATCACATGTATTATAAATGTTTGAGAATGTAAAATATTTCACAGAAAACGAAGTATAAACAAATTTTTATTCATTTTATTATATATATTTTTTATTATACAGTAATACTTATATCACTAAATGTTTTTGTTGTCTAGAATATTTTTCAATAAAAAGTCAAAGATTGTTTTTGAGTTATAAATAGCATACGTTTTAAAAATGGGTGACTGATTTGATTATTTCATACAAAATAAAGTATGTGTATAAATAAAATATAATAATTTTTTATAAAATTATTTTTACCAAAAATATTAATGGATTCTTTGTTATCATAAAATTTAAATATATTAAATAAAGTATATTGATTTGTAAGTGTTTCATTCATGAACCAAAAATAAAAGCTGGAGGATAACATATGTATTTTTAACAGTGACTATAATCTCCTTTACCGCAACGTAGCATAGACATACATATGTTTGCTGATAAAATTAGTAAACAATTACGAATTTATAGATTAATTCGAAAAATCTCAAGAAGAATTTTATATAAAAAAAAATGGGAAGAAAAAAATATTTGTGATTAAAAATTAATGCTTGAATACTAACGAATTGAATGTAAATGGTAATTGCACTAAGCTTTGGATAAAGACGATAAACAAAAACAACAAAAAAATGTTATAAAATAACTGTTGTAATTGAAAAGACTTAAAGAAATGATGCACTAGGAATTTATGATGAGATTGCGACCCCTAGTTCTATATAAGAAGTTTGTTTAAATAATATGTATTATCCAAAAAGTACATGTATGTGCGTGTTCCTGTAAGTGAGAAAAAGTACACAAGAAGGGGGTTGAATTGTGTTTTATGTTTTCTTAATTTGCGTCTGATCAGAGTTCAGAATCTAAACTGGTGTTTAGATTCTAATTATACTTAGCAGCGGAATGTTAATAAAAGCAAATAAATAATAGTAGAAGACAGAAAGGTTTATATTGGTTCCTCCCAATTGAGAGTAGTACAATCCCCTTACTTCACAAGAGATTTTAACTATAACCAAATCATGATTACAATCGCTTATGCATTCTACATAAGACTTTTACAATACTCAGACCCTAGGTCCAAGACTTCTTGCTTAAACTCCTAAGGTTCAAGACTTCCTTGCTCAAGTCCTACAGACCCAAGATTTCTTACTCAAGCCACTCTACCCCCAAGACTTTTGCTCAAGGTTTCACAAATTGAGACTTCCTGCTCAAGCCACACTGACCCAAGACTTTTGCTCAAGGTTCCACAAACCGAGACTTCCTGTTCAAGTCACACTGGCCCAAGACTTCTGCTCAAGGTTCCACGAACCGAGACTTCCTGCTAAAGCCACACTGACCCAAGACTTCTGCTCAGACCCTCGATTTGAGACTTCTTGCTCAAGTTCTACGAACCCAAGACTTCTGCTCAAACCCCTCAGGTTCAAGACTTTCTGCTTAAGCCCTACATACTTAAGACTTCTGCTCAGGTTCCACGAACCCAAGACTTCTGCTCAATCAATCCACTTGATTAAGACTTTCAATGCTCTAGCACATAGCAAGAGACTTACATGGCTCAAGCATCTTGGCGAGAGACTTGGATTTGTTCAATCAATCCACTTGATTAAGACTTTCAATGCTCTAGAAAATTGTAAGAGACTTAAATGGCTCAAGCATCTTGACGAGAGACTTTGATCTAAACTGCTAAACAACATGTTCAGCAGAATAAAGAACAAGGTGTGCTTGATACAAATATCAGAGGTACGGGGAAATCACCATAACAAAGACCTAAAGCTCTTAAGACTTCTAAGATATCCAACGTGTAAGAAATCTTAAGGCTTTTACAATTACAACCTACAACAAAAATCTTGCATAGCCATTTGTGTTAATAATTGTTGATCTTGTTACTTGTAATACTCCGTATTAAATAAAATGTTCTAAATAATATTAGTTGAGATCAACTGAGTTTCTATGTGCTCTGAGAGTTGTTTGTTGAGATAATTAGAGCAACCAATGAGCTAAGGGTTGATTTAATTAATATTATTCGACTTTGAGGTTTTATTAATTGGTACATTAGAGACATTTTAGATACCCTCTATTTTGGACATTTAACCAAGTTAGTCTTACTAACTTTAATGGTATTTTTCTTGTATCATTTCCTTCTATTTTCCTTTCATTTTGGGAACATAGAGAGAAAAATAGTAAGAAGTTAGATAGAAGGAGGAGAAAGAAGAAGAAGGAAACCCTAGAGGAAGAAAAAACTTGGAAATTCGTCATTTCTTCATCTTCATCATCTCATCTTCATCATCTCATCTTCATCATCAACAACTTCTTCATCTTATGTTAGAGGTGGGTTTTAGGTAGAAACTCAAGGTTAGATTATTTGGATAGAATGAGAAAAGTTAGGTTATGATGTTCTTGTTCCATTTCCATGAGAAATATATGATTCATGTTATATTCATGATGTTGATGTGAGTTTATTGTTTAAAATTTTGTTTCATGTGTGTTTATGTCAACATTGAGGATGGATTGAGTTTGGGTAAGAGTGGGGTTGAAAACCCCTTTGAAAGTATCCTATTATGCTGGACAGTTTGCAGAAATCACAGAGTTTGCACTGCGAGCTCTAGTGAACATGACAGTCTATCATGCTCACACTGCGAAGTGAAAGCAAACTGAAAGCGAGTATTCGCTTAGAGTTCACACAACGAGCATTTTCACTACTGCCGTTTTTATTTTCAGCCTCGCTCAGAGTTCGCACAACGAACTCAAGGCGAAGGAACTCGCCTGGCCTTTGCATTGCGAACATGGCAGGGTTTTCCAAATTTTATTTTGATGATTGTTGGTGGTTCCTATGTGTCGCTACTGCGAAAATCGGCGCCGGCTTGACAGAAGAGTCGCCACCGTGCGTTATTTATCCCACAGGAGGGAAAGGAAACGCTCGAAGTAAACCTCGCAAAAACGGGAAAGGTATGGTCATCGCAACCAAAACCTGGGTTCGGGAGTCGGTTACGCAAGGGGAAGGTATTAGCACCCCTCACGTCCGTCGTACTCGACGGGATCCACGCTTGGTGTTTATAAGGAAAAGGGTGTGTTTATCTATCTACGCTAGTGGTCAGTCTGAAAAGAAAAGAAAAGGACAGGACTCGACAGAACATACGCTGTTCTGGGCCTACGTACTCCCTCGTGCAATGGGAAAGTCAGAGTCAACGTAGTTCGACTACCTACGTCTAGACGGGGGGGAAGGTTGCTCGCCAGGACATCGCGTCCTGTGCCTACGTACTTCCACACGGCATGGAAGATCAGAGCAAACGTAGTTCGGGCTACGCACGACATAAGTTGTTCAAGTGTTTTTTATTGGGAAAATGCACCTTAACCAAGGGTTTTCACAGTCCAAGAGGACAAAAGGTTTTGATGTTTGCTCAAATCTTTTGACGGAAGAAATGAATTCACTTTTGTTTTATCCCTTATTAAGTGTTTTTCTGTTGTTTTGAGAAAGGAAAGAGACACCCTAAAACTATGGTTGAAAAGAGGAATCTACCTAATGTTATCATGCCTGGTTAACCCGCCTAAGGTCTATCATAACTCCTCCACAGCAGAGAAGTCAGAGCTCCTAAGGGATCATGGCAAAAGCACTAAACAGCAAACAGGAATCACTGCAAAGTAAAGACATACTGGAAATATGCATGAATGCAACAACCAAACAAGCAAGGCACAAAGGCCACACACCACAGAGGCAAGGGAGCTCAGCTCTACCAAATACCAGCAAGCAAAGCCACTCAATAACAATCAAGCAGAAGGAGTCAGACACTCAACTTCTCATGCACACAAAGCCTATTTCTAAGATGCACCTATCTCAGAAATATCTAGATGAACCCCTAAGTCTAATGCAGCACAACACCACACAAGTCAATCAACACAAAGAGAAAGCTAACCAGCCCGACAAACTCTTATCCCAAAATCAAGGACTAACCCTGAGCAGGACCCCAAGCAAAACCCCAATCACCGCCCTAAGCAAACCCTCAAGCAAAACCCTAATCACAACCCCAAGCAAACCCCCAAGCAAAACCCTAAGCAAAACCTAAAGGGAGAAATCAATCCCATTCTTCAAGCTTCAAGACAAGCTTACCAAAGAAAGGGAGCTAAGTAGAGAGACTCATAGTGCCTTCCTCAGGAAAGTACTAGGAGGCTTCCACTTAGGAATCATATCCCATGTGGCTCAACAACTGTGAACGGTTTACATTCCTCCTCAGGAGAAACTAAACTCACATGAAGGCTCCAACATCACTGGATACTTAAGAAACCTACATGAACTAAGGGAACTAAA